TCTCTCTCTCTCTCTCTCTCTCTCTCTCTCTCTCTCTCTCTCTCTCTCTCTCTCTCTCTCTCTCTAAGCTCCACCCAAATTGCCTCGACTACTGTGACTTCTCCTCAAGCACTGGGTCAAGTTCAGTTGAGAGTCACTGAGTTAAGAGTAAGAGTACTCAGTTAACAGTAGTGAATTAAGAATACTGAGTTGAGAATACTAAGTAGCGTCCGTACGTTTTTGTGGTTTCCTGCTGATCGAACATTGCTTATACGATTTTCACTGGTCCGGAGCAAACACTTAAACCAAGTACCAAGTACGAATAAGCATGTAGTTGTTCCAGCAAACGGCAACGTTTTTCTAATGAATACTGAGTTAGGAGTACTGAGTTAAGACTACTGAGTTTCAGTTAAGAGTAACTGCGTTAAGATTACTGAGTCAAGAGTACTGAGTTAATGAGGACTGATTTAATGAGGACTTAACTGAGGACTGAGTTAAGGAGGACTGAGTTAGAAGTACGGAGATGAGAGTCCTGACTTAGCTGCGTTGACTGACTGACTGACTGACTGACTGACTGAGGAGTCGAGGCAGTTGAGAATCTCTTCAGTGATTGCTGCCTTGATATCTTGTGATTGCTGCTCTCAAGGGCTTTTTGTAAAGAGGATTGCTGCACTGAGAGGATTGCTGCACATTCTATAAATAGATTCAACCCCCCTCACTAACCTCTTACCCTCTGAAGCCGTTATCATTATTTATCCACTTCGGTACCCTTTTTCATCGTCTCTTTTCATTTTTTTTGTCTATAATAATCAACAGCATATCCATAAAAGTACCATTACCCAGTTCCCTTTGTCGAGTACATTACGCACATAGTAATACTTAGTCAGCACGTAGTAATACTTAGTGCGTACATAGTAATACTCTGCGGGTTGACATCATAATAGAGACGAGGAATACTTATTATCCACACAGTGTAGTAATACATGAGCATAGCAATTGGCCTCGCTTCACTTAATACTCAATTCTTCTTTCTACTTCTTCTTCTTCTACAAAACTTCCCATTTTTTTTTCCCTCCCTCTCCTTTCGGATCTTCTCGTCACCTCAAACTCTTTGCAGATACCCTCCATTCCTACCGTTGGCATTCCTTTACACTTCTTCTTCGTCTTCTTCTTCTTCTTCTTCTTCTTCTTCTTCTTCTTCTTCTTCTTCTTCTCCTCCTCCTCCTCCTCCTTTCATCTTCTTCTTCTTCTACGAAACTGTATTCCATTTTTATTTCTCCCTTTCCTTTTGTATCTTTGGCACTCCTTTGCACTTGTTCCTCTTCTTCGTCTTCTTCGTCTGCTGCTGCTGCTTCTTCTGCTTCTTCTGCTTCTTTTTTTTTTTTTTTTTTTTTTTTTTGGTACAAACAGGGCCTTATGCTTCTTCTGCTTCTTCTAAATAACTTTCTTCCATTTTTATTTATCACTTTGCTTTTGCATCTTCTGCTCACCTCAAGCTCTTTGCAGAGACCCTCCATATCTACCGTTGGCACTCCTTTGCACTTGATCTTGCAAACGCGTCGCCGTTTCCAGTGTGTATGGACGTTATCCACCATGTTATGCGTCAGACCATCCCTGCCTAACAAAGAAGGGGTAGGAAACCAGGAGATGCAAGAGAGGAAAGAAACAGAAAGAGAAAGGGAGAGGGAGGGAGGGAGGGAGGGAGAGAGAGAGAGAGAGGATAAGGGAGAAAGGCGAGGAAAAGGGGACGGGAGGAGGAGNGGAATGTGAGGAGGGCACGAGCGAGAGATCATGGCATGACGGGTCGAGGGAGAGGACATGAAGAGCGGCAGAGCAAGGCACAAGCAGGACCGATGAATAAAAATTAGAAAAATACTGATAAGCATAAGCACAAATTAAGTTTGAAAAAAAACAAAAAAAAAAAACAATATGATAGATTGCGTTGAATAGTTGGGGAGGTGCAGTGACTGGCCATTGCTCGGCGCTACCGGTAGCACCGCTGATTTCCCCCGTCGGCAATGCCTGCCCACCCCTCGCCACCGTGATGAGGGACTGGTACAGCCTTGCTCTCGCAACACAGCTGTGGTGCAAACCTACCCCGTGGGCTGGGGAGAGATCCGGGTTGGTTGATGTTCCCCCGTACTATAAATAGACTAGTGAGACGATGAGATAGATGCGTACTACCAAGAAAGAGGAAATAGATTGAGAAAGAGGGAAAAAAAATAAAAAAAATTGTTAATAATTTTGTCAACTAACAAAACTTTTTTTTTTAAGCGGTTCCCCTTTGCCCCAGCGCTGGGAACCCGAAAGTCCCAAGCGCTGGGAACCCGAAAGTCCCAAGCGCTGGGTAGAAAAAGGGCAAGTGCGAGCTCCCGTGCATCATATCCAAGTCAAAGCGAATATACACACAGTCACTCGAGATTGACAATCAACAAAGACCCGCACAGCGGAAAATGTCAAATGGGGGCCCACCAAAAAAAAGAAAAAAAGAAAGAAAGGACCACCACCGATCTTTCAGGCAAAACCTGGCGGCAGTCGTCCTTGGGGTTGTCGTCAACTGAAAGCGGACGAAGCGCTGGCTGAAGGCGAGAGCCACAGACGAGTCAGCTGAAAGAGAGAGGACAAACTACCATTTTTAGCCTTATTTTTATTTATTATAATTTTATATCTAGAAAAAAAATAAAAAAAACTAAAAGCCTAGTAGAGGTTCCAACTGTGTCCCAACTCATACAGTTGTAAGCTGCAACGGGTACAGAGGTACTACAGTAAGTTCCTGAGACAGTTCCATCTGGTACTGCGGCTTTTGAGTTCCAAAAGGTAGCAGATGGGAACTCTGCCAGTTGGAACTTACTGTAATACCTCTGTATATTAACAAAAGGTACCAGATGAGACAGCTCCATCTAGTTCTGGGACTTCCCAAGAGGTACCAGATGGAACAATGCCACTTGGTACTTAATACCTCTGTATTAAAGTCCTCAGTACCAGATGAAACAGTGCCAGTTTTGGAACTTGATACCTCTGTATTAAGTTCCACCAACTGGCACTGTTCCGTCTGGTACTGAGGACTTTTGAGTTCCAACAGGTACCAGATGGAACTGTCCCAGTTGGTACTTACTAATACCTCTGTATCAAGTTCCAACTGGCACTGTTCCATCTGGTACTGGGGACTTTTGAGTTCCAACAGGTACTGGAGGTTTTGGTTCCTCCCAATGATACAGGGCTTCACAGTTCAAATGGGTACTGAGGTTCTGTTCCAGCTGATGGAGGGGGTTCAGGTTCCAATGGTGCGGGCCCCAGCAGCTGGTACTAAGGTTTTAAGTTCCGAATTGTAAGGGAACCTCTAATCGGCGGCGTATGCGAGGCATCTACCGGTCCAATCAATCAATGGAACCCACTAACCCACTAATTAGTAATTAGTATAAACTGACGGATTGACTGAGATAGAGACAGGAGGAGCTTGATTAATTCACTGCATCATGAGTGAATTTCCTGACCAATTACTGGCATGAGACAAAGAAGGAGACACGGACGACAGAGGAGAAGAGCGAAACCTGGGAGGGAAAGAAAATAAGCCATAAATGCCAGAAAATGTCGAGGGGAATGGGAAAGAAGGGGGGGAGAGAGAGAGAGAGAGAGAGAGAGAGAGAGAGTTCAACAAATAAGAGAAGAAGAAGAGAAGAGAAAGGTGACGGTGAGACAGAGGAAGGGTTTTGGCCATCTACACCTAGATATTTTATTTTTTTTTACACCTAGATTTACTTGGCGATTGCCGAAAACTAGGCCAAAGAGGGGGGAGGGGAGGCGGGAGGGAGGGATGGAAGGAGGGAGGCGGGAGGGAGGGATGGAGGGAGGGAGGGAGGGAGAGAGAAAGAGAAGATCAGAAGATGAGGAAGAAATTGTGGTAGGAACACAGAGAGCAAGGTTTTGCAGAGACGTGTCAGGAAAAAAAAAAGATAGATAGAGAGAGAGAGAGAGAGACCAACAAGGTAAGAGAAGAAGACGAGAAAGATAGGTGGTGGAAACAAACAGAGAGCAAGGTTATTGCCCATCTACTACCTAGATTCGCTAGGCCAGGAGTAGAAAATGTCAAACAAAATACGGGAAATACGGGAAAGAAAGAGACGGGGAGAGGGGGGGGAAGGGGGGGGGAGGGCGGAATGAGGGCAGGGAGAGGCCGAGATGATAAGAGAAGAAGACGAGGAAAGGAAGGAGGTGGGAATACAGAGTCCATTTCCATTTCCTACCTAGATTCACTTGTCGATTGCCGAAAGTTAAACTATCTTTTACAAGTTCTTTCACCTCTTCTGGCGTCAGAGGCTCCCCTTGTACTCCCAACTGATCTCTCTTTCTCTTCAGAGACAGAGACTTGGCACCCAAGAAGGGTCCTGGCGGGTCCATCTGCTTCACGGCCTTTGTCCACGATGGAGGACTCAGCGTCCCAGATTGCCGCCAAAGCGACGGCTTGTGGGACTTGGGAGAGGTGATGCGTTCTCCCCCTCCTGCTTGATCAGGACCGTAAGATGATGACGTGGCCCGAGATCCCGATCTCACGTCTTCTCTCGTCACGCCCATGAACGCCTTCGAAATCACAATCCCATCCCCTCCTTCTCCCTCTCCTCCCTCTCCCTCTTCCAGAAACGCTCCGTCTGCTATCCTCTTCAGTCGAGCGGACAAGGGCATCCGGTTCCTGCCCATCTCTACTGTACCACCTCTGTTCCAGGTCCCATCGGCAGAACCTGGACCTGCAATTGGTCCAGATTCCCAGAGGTTCCTCTTCGACCGAAGACCACCTCCACCTTCTTCCTCTTCAAACACCTTTCCGTCTGCTATCATTTTCAGTCGAGCGGACAAGGACAGACGATTCCTGGGCATTCCCCCCGTATCACCTTCTTCTCTGTTCCATGTCCCGTCGGCGGGACCTACCTCTGGTCCAGATTCCACGATATCCCTCTCTCCTACCATCGATGTACGACCACCTCTGCTGGACCAAGAAGACGACGGCGATGGCGAAGAGGTCCTCTCGCGTTCCTTCCAACGACCACCTCCACCCTCCCATTCTCTCTCATTGTTGCTGAATCTCGACCCTGTGCTCCAGGTCCCGTCGGCAGGGGGGTCCAAGGTATCTCTGTCCGACAGGCGGCGGTTCCTGGGCATGTCCCGCGTACCTTCTTCTCTCTTCCAGGACCGGTCGGCGGGACCCGTCGGTCGTGCAGTTTCCACCAAGTTATTCCTCTCCCCCGTCGACGTACGACCACCTCCGCTGGACCAAGAAGACGACGGCGATGGCGAAGAGGTCCTCGTGCGTTCCTTCCAACCACCACCTCCACCCTCCCATTCTCTCTCATCGTCGCTGAATCTCGACCCTGCGCTCCAGGTCCTGTCGGCAGGGGGGTCCAAGGTATCTCTCTCCGACAGGTGGCGGTTCCTGGGCATGTCCCGCGTACCTTCTTCTCTCTTCCAGGACCGGTCGGCGGGACCGATAGGTCGCGCAGTTCCCACGAGGTTACTCCTCTCCCCCGTCGACGTACGGTCCCCTCTGCTGGACCAGGAAGACGACGGCGATGGCGGCGCCCTCGCTCGTTGCTTCCACCCACGACCACCTCCGCCTTCGACGCTGTCCTGTCGATCGCCACCACCACCTCCACTCTCCCACTCTCTCTCATTGTCCTTGACGAATCTCAACCCTCTACTGCCTGCAGACCGGCTGCGATCTGAGGTCGGCCCTTCGTAGAAGCCCTTCCACGGAGAACCACCTCCAGTCGCGGCGGACGTCCGACTGTCGGATCGAGATCGCCACCCATCAGATCCCGACCAGGCATCTCCTCTCGTCTCCGATTTGTTGTCCCGGCCCGCGGGAAATCGGGACTCCCGATTCTGCAGCCGCGGAGGAGGAAAGGGAGAAACGGAGCCCCTCGCCGTCCTCGACCCGTCGGGGGCGCTCCCTCGCACATCGGGCGCGTACCACCGCCCAGAGGGCGCGTTCCCCCGCCCGTCGAGCACATTCCGCCGCCCGTCTGGCGCATTCCCCCTGCTTCGACTGATAGCAGCGGCGGCGCTAGAAGGGGGCGCGTCGGGATACCACCATTCAGGGGAGCCTGGAGGTCGCGCAACGTGGCCATCCGACCCCTCCGCCGCGGCTCCTCCTCCTCTTTTGTCGCTGACCTTTATCGGCATTTCCGATGCCCTTCCCTGTCTAGAACGGCCCTCCCCCGGTGTGCGCGATCCCGGCGGTCGATCGTCAGCGTATCCCGACCTGGCGGACGACGAGCCTGCTTCTCCTCGCCGCCCACGATAGCTCGAGCGCTCTACTGTGCGCTCCCCATCAAGACTTCCCTCCCTCGCCGTCCAAGACGACGACCTTCTGCCCCCCGCCTGCGACCTCCATACCTCCCCTCTCCACCTGTTTCCCGCAGGCCGCTGCTGCCCTCCACCCTCCCCCTCTCCGCCATCTCCTCCCCTCCCGACTTCCGCTCCACCGAACCGCTTCCTTGTCGCCCGATCGCCAGCTCCCCCCCATCGCTCCCCCTCCTCGGCGGGGGCGCCAGGGCTGTCATCCCCCTCGACAACGGACTCGCCGACCCCTCCAGACGTGGAACCCGCCAAAGACCTGAGGGCGGTCGGCGACCCGCCCAGCGACCGTTCGCCGCCGGGATCCCCGTCTGGCAACCGGTCGCCATGGCGGCCGGGCCACAACTGACACTCGTCCCGACCGAATTGCGCGCCGACGGCGGGCGAAGCGGGCTTATTATTGAGTCTACACCGCGGCCACAAGGCGTGACCGGTGCCATCGATGAGTGTCAATGATGATGCGAAATGGGAGTTAAAAGGGGCCAATAATTTGCCTGCGAAGGAGGGGGGTAGAGGGGTTAACGACCAGCTGGAGACAGGGGGTTTAAAGGGGTTCTGAAGGCGGGGATTTGTTGAAGACGAACAGAAAGAGGCATCGATAGCGTAAAGAGAATTCCGATCTAAGGACCGCGACGAGGATGATGTCCAGCAAGCACCAGCGATGACGACCCCCTCCAGGGCGCCACGTGGACAACGATTTTCATTGGCCAACACTCCACGGCAACTGGGACAGACACGTGGTGTACGATAGAGAAGAAATGTAGCGGACGTCAAAACCGAGGAGCATGTACTCCTCCCCACCATCGCCGGACCAGAGAGCTTCGAACGTCCTTTCCGCCGCCGCCAGCTTCCACCATAGCTGTCCGAGCTTCCACGAAGGTTGCCGATGTCGATGGCCGCACGAGTTTCTCCATCATGAGCAAGAAGAGATGCCGTGCCACGTGGCGACCCAGCAAGCCCGCGCCCATATGCCTCCGCGGCTAACTGACTTGAGACGGGTGTGGCCAGCTGGGTAACGATTGCGGCCATGTTCCCCTACACGGACAACAGCGACGTTCCAGAGACAGGCAGGCTCCTTTCTTTGCCAGATATTGCAAGCTTGCACTGTTGGCATTCCACGTGGATGCTTGTCGGACAAGGCCGGAGCCGTGCGGCGCGCGGCGCCATCAACGATCAGCGCCGTCGTTCATTTCGTACCCATGGTACAGGGTGATTCACCCTTCGCCATCCAGAACCCGCCGGCAGGGCATGGTCACTTTACCGACAAGGGGGCTCCCTAATTTTTCGGCCGGACCACAACGGCCCACTCCATGCACACGGGCTCCCTTTGGAAAAGGCTTGGCGGAGGCTCGGCTCTGGCTCTGGCTCAGGCTCGGGCAAACTTCTTTTTGGATATTTTCTATACGTCCATATGTATGTACACCTCTCAAATCTGCATAAATTGCCGAAGGGGCTCCTTCCACACCACTCCAAACTCAAGGGTTTCTTGCCCAACAACGTTCCACGGTGCCCTTCAGTTTCGCTAATCACGGCCCATCGGTGATTAGATTTTCGGGTTTAGCAAATGGGCGGGAAGAGCTCAAGGGCGGCTCAAGTGCGGCCCAGGCAAACCTGCCCAGTTTTCAAGTCACCTCTCTCTCTCTCTCTCTCTCTCTCTCTCTCTCTCTCTCTCTCTCTCTCTCTCTCTCTCTCTCTCTTGCGTCATATCTTTTCTTTTTTTTTTTAAACCACCAGTACCTTGCCCAGCTATAAAGTCTGAGACTCCCATTACCGGCTTGTAAGCCGAGCCTTGCAGAGTCTAGACTTTAGAGCTACTGGTAGCGGGTTTTGCTTCATTTTTCAAAAACCAAAAGATAAAAAAAGAAAGGAAAAAAAAAACGAATGAGCTTGTGAAAAAAAAAGGTGGGCGGAAGAGAGGGAGAGAGGCCGGGAATGAATCTTCTCGCAAACGCAGGAAGATTCTTTCTCATCTTCAACGTGAGAGGGGCAGTGCGTTCAACACGGCAAGCCGCGCAACGCCCTAGTTTGTTTTTTTTTTTTTTTTTCTCTTTCTCTCTCTCTCTCTCTCTCTCTTCCCCCCCCGTTTTTTTTCCGGTTTATTTTTTTCACATCAACTTTGAATTCACTTTGCTAAAGTAACTCAACTGTAAATAAAATTTGTATCTTTGAATTATAATTTTAATCTATCATTTTTTTTTCCTTTATTTATTTTTCAATAAATTTGTCAACGAGTGGATAGTCCACTTGAACAATACAATTCAAGTGTACCATCTTCAAAACCATTTTGAAACAAACGGTCCATATTAGGAAGAAATGAGAATAAAATACACATTCAAATTAATCCTAAATTAAAATTAAATAATCAATTTGTAGAAAAGTCTATCAATAAAGGAGTGACTGCGGTATACAAAAAAAAAAAAAAAGTATTGTAACAACCTGCGTAGCACGGCGAACGTATCCGCGCCCCTTCATGTCCACGCGAACGTGTTTGCGCATTCGCGCGAACAGCTCGCGAACATGTTCGGGCGAATATAATTTTTTTTCGGTTTTTTATCTTTAACTAATGATTGGCTACGAATTTGAACATGATTCCAAGGCAAAAGTTGCTTGTATTTTTATTTTCTTTTTTTTAATAATTTTTATGTTTGCGTTCGGAGGGTTTCAGGCGCTTGTTCGTGTTCGGGCAAACATGTTTGCGTTCGCCTTCGAACATGAACACGGTGCTACGTAGGTAACAACTATATGAGAACTAAGTACAATCTTTTTCCAAACTAATTTGGAGAAAAGTCTCATTATACGATACGAAAGTAATTGACTATTTGAGCAATTAAATGACAAACAAGATATATAAACTTAAAAAAAACATCATTCACAGAGATGGGATTTTTTTTTTTTTTAATTTGTTTGGAATATTTGAATTTATCAAACACACAACCTGTATATGCCCCAACCCTGTCCGACGGGGCCGTTAATGCGCCGCGCCGACTATTTTAAGTCGGGCGAGGTACTGGTAGTTTAGCAAAAGACTTAACGCATTTATTCTACACAAAATAAGGACGCTATAAATCTTTTTACAAACAACATAAAAAGTGAATACAATATTGGTACCGTTACTCTACTTAGGTGCAGGCATTTGGCTTATTGTCTAGCAACAGAAATGGTAAAAACGAGATCACTGTCTTTACTTACTACAACCCTGGATTAATTAAAAACTCTGAACTATGCTATAACAAAAACAGAAAATATGAAAATACAACAAAATCAATCATAAGAAACAACCACAAGACCATAAATGCAAACAATGCAAAAAACGGTGAGGAAAAACCCATACCTAACTTTTTAAACCACCAGTCCTCCCGACACAAAAAAATTAGCTTTCCGGCACCATCAGAGGCTGGTAGCCCGGAAGGAGAGGAGATCGGCGACAATTTGGGTGGAGGTCGACCTAAAAAAAAAAAAAAAAATCCAAACTTTGACGATTTTCCATGCTCATAATAATAAACCAAAACATATGAAATTATGAGATCTGGTAGATTTGGTCGTGATCCATTCAGAAAATTTATTTAAAAAATTAAAAAAAAATAATTTTAACAGTGAAATATTCACCGCGCCGATTCAATGCATTTTTCATTTTTCAAGTTGTCACTCTACCACTCGCGGACCAACGAAAAAGTACTTCGTTCTTGCCTCTTTGCCACTTGTGGGCCACTCTACCGGTTCTTAACACTATGGTACCGGTAACCCTCATTAACTTAGGCTACCGGTCCCCTGATTTTTTGTTGTCGCGGGGGGAGTGGTGGTTTAATAAACTAACAACACCTACTGTAATCCAACAACTCAATTTAAAATGTTTAGTCTTTAGTTACAACCTTACGATTTTATTTTATCATATCCATTATACACAACAAAAATTAAATAAATAATTGTGCATGATTGTTTCGTAGACTAAGTGTTGAAGCACGGGAAGAGTTATTGTTGTCCGCATCAGCTACTGGGAACAACTGTTTGTTGTACCGTTTTATAATGTATTAGTCTTTGTTGTTGTTTCTGTTGCGCTCGGGGTTGCAGTGCGGCAGACTGTTGATTGTCTGACTATCACTTGGTGTGTTCCCGACAGTTGGGGCAACTTTTGTTGTTGTTGGATCCGACTGCATCCGATAGAAGGTCTAATATGGTTGGACGCTTTTTGTTTTTAGCATCAACAAACTAATGATGAAGTCGCCTAGGTGGTGGCACCGGTTCTCAACATTGATGTGTTGGTGATGGTTTAGGTTAGAAGTTCCCAAAAATATGCTCAAGTAGAGTACAAAGGTAAGCACTATTCGAATAAAGGTCCTCGAAGTTGCGTAGCATTCGTTTGATCAGAGGTGAAAAGGTGGTAGTTTGAAAAGGTTTTTAAACTCTCAAGAGGGACGTCTGTTGCAACTTAGATGTTTGTCAGACTACCGCTACTCTGCGTATTGGTCGCGCCTTAACCATCCTCAGTTCTTTTTTGCCATCATTGTGGGGTCCTCAGGCGTATTAAGATTCCAAGGTCCTCTAAAGTAAGTTTGAGTGTATTTCTTTTGGATCTAAGTGACTAAATGATTCTCCCTCTGCCCTTCTCAGTCTCAGTCTAGTCTATTGGTTTATAGAGGAAGGCAGCAGGCGAGATTGGAACCCGTAATCTGTGGCAAGGTCTCTGTGGGAGGCTTGCCCCACCGATTGCGGGAGCTCTGTCGGAATTTACGCAAAGATTCCAGAGGCAAAGAATTATCAGGTATACCTTCTTTTACCTGTGTGAACCCACTATACCCTTACCATTACATCTTTATAGTTTGACCGAGAGATATGCATGTGTTCCCTTATGAATTTTTATTTTTTTTCTTCACGACTTAATCAGGTTAATTCGAAGGCACGCATTCATAAGATTTTTTTTTTTTTTAATTTATGTCGGAAGTAGACTAAGGGATGAACTCGGGAAGGTCGGAGGAGGCAGTATTGCATGCGTTTGATCGGGTTTAAAACCACCAGTACCCTGCCCAAACAAACTTTTGTCACCTCCTGAATTAATGAAGGATGTGGGCAGGCCTAGTAGAGGCTCGATACAAGCTCGACTCATGCGTGGTAGTCGCTCGTTTTGAAAACGAAAACAAATGATCAGAGGAAAAAAAAAAAAAAAAAAAGTGAGAGCACGAAATAAAACTTCTGCCTCTCAAAACGACGCGAGCGGGAGGGTGTTCCTCTCAGAACGGTGCGAGTTCTGGAAACAGAGATGCTCAGTGTACAGTAATAAAAAAAAAAAAAACAGATACAGCGCTGTGATGAAGTCTCATCCTACGAGATGAGGTTCGCTTGGGTGAATCTTCCGCTAGAACATGGAAAAATATTTTGCCATTATTTATGTCTTTTGTGTATGTAGAGAGAGTGGAACAAGACCCATATATTGAAAATTCATGACTTTTTTTTCTTCTTTTTTTATAAAAATGAAGAAACTGTAAAAAAATAAATAAAAATAAAAGAAAGATCCATTGCCTCGATTTTTGTCTTTTGCGGTTGCTGCTGGCAGTGGTGAGTATTGGAACGATGCCTTTCATCCTACGAGATTTATAATGGCCCACGCTGTATTAGTTTCCAGATTACCCAAATGAAAATGAATTTTACGCTGGAACGTGGAAGGATACAGAGAAGATCATAATGACCCTGCTGAAGAATGATGACTTCAGACAATAAAGCCATTCACGACTCTCTGACTATGAGTCCGCCCTCAACGTCTTCGCCTACTCCTCTGGCAAGTGCAGTCACCCTATGAGGAAAAAAAAAACGCAGGACATAAAAACGAAAATGAGAAGGAAAAAAAAAAAAAAAAAAAAAAAAAAAAAAAAAAAAAAAAAAAAAAAAAAAAAAAAAAAAGGATGAAAAAAAAAAACGAAAACCAGCATAGAAGTACCGGTCGCCAGTGTTAAAAGACATGTAGGCCTCATATCATGACCACTTACAAGCTGCTTTCCCATAAGACAAAGAGGTTTGGTAGCTTGCCAACAACAAGGTTTGAGAAAACTGCTTCGGGGGTGTTGGTGGTTTAAAGGTTGAACATTGTTTCTATGTTGAATGATCTAATGCTATGTTTATTATCTGTTTTATGAAGGGTTGCATATTTTTAAGTTGAATGACCTGATTACTGTGTTTATTTTTAGAGGGTTTGCACTTTTTGATTTTTGAGATCAAGCATTATTTATAAGTCGAATGACTTGGTCTATCTATTTCTTTTGAGAATTATGAATGCAATTCGATTGAAAGGTCCAACGTCATGCTTTGAGTGACTTATGACAGGTTGAACATTGTTTCCAAGTCGAATGGTTCAGTCTCTTATATAATTTTTGAGGATAATTTTTGCGTAGGGTTAAACATTATTTCCAAATCGAATGGTTTAACCTGAAACTACCCACAAAGTACAAACGAGTATAATTGAAGATATATTATTTATATTTACATGTGAAGATTTACATTTGCATTGAAGATATTGTTTCAAAGTCGAATGCTTCAGCGTTAAGCCGTATAATTAAGAAGAGAATAAAAAGTAAAGAGCATAATTGAAAGTAACATGGACAAGTTGAGCATTGTTTCTAAGTTGAATGACTCAGTTCCCTGCTCATATTCTGAAGACAAGTCGGAAAGTTATTACATTATGAATATTTAATCAGTTGAGGGCAACTAAGCATTGTTTTCTAAGTTGAATGATATAGTCACACGTCTGAAGAAGGGAGAAGTAGTTGTGCAACCTATTTGTGTATAATCTAATGCAAACATTGTTTCTAAGCTGAATGGTCGCGCGCCATGCCGTATGTAAGGTAGGTATAAAAGATAAATCATCTGGTGGTTCAATGAACTATTTTATAAGGATTCAACTTTAGGTTTTTGTGAGAGTACTTACCCATTGTAGTATGAACTTGTTTGTGATTGAGGGTGAGTGTTATTAGTTTGAGTATCATCTTGATTGGTAATTGCTTTAGATGCTCGTCATATGCTGAAGTTGTAGGAGTTAGTTCAATTCCTGCATTTTTTTAGTTAAGTTTATTTTACTTAGTTTAATTTAACATGTTTTGTTAAGTTTATTTTTCATACTTGACTTTATAAAAATTTTGGAAAGCTACTTTCGCTAAGAGAAGTGTTGTCAAAAGTTAAAAAAAAACAAAAAGTCAGTCAAATTTTGGTTTTTCAATGTTTAAACTTTTGTTTTTGTTTTATATCTGACTCAGTAGAAATATGAAAAACCTTCTTTGTAAGAGATAGTGTTGCTCAAATTTTTGCTAATTGAGAGAGTAAATAAAATTTGACTTTATAAACTGAGAATCATTTTTTATTAGGTATTTAGTTTTGTACAAATGTTTGAATGACATTTCTCTAGAGGGAGTGTTGTCGAAATTTCTACAAATTCGTAAAAACTCATATTTTATTTCAAGTTTATATCTGACTTAGTATAAATATAAGAAGTCTACTTTTATAAAGGAGATGATACTCAAATTTATGCTAATTCAAAAAGTTAGACAAAATTTGACGTTCTTAATGATTGTTTCAGTTTTTATATTTAGACGAATATAAACTTTGGAAAGACATTTTTTCTAAAGGGAATGTTGAGTTGTATTATATTTTGATAAAAGAAATTTCGACAATCTAACCTGTATAGGAAAAATATTGTTCATTTTTTTCATTCGTTTGACACTTGCTTGTAAGTAAATTTGTATTCAGTCATCGGGAGGTTTTTGAGTGAAGTGTGATATGAATGTTCCTTCTCTATACACTTATAGTTTAGTTTTAGGGAGTAGTCTGTGTTATGTTATAAGTTTTTTTCGATCATTTTGATTCAAGATCTGACTAGCCTGAGTTAGATAATGCGAGAATCATCTCCTGTTACCCTTGTGATAATAGGTCGGTTACCGATTCATTGTTTTACGACTCAACTCTAACTAATTTTCGCCACTCAACCTAAAAGACTTTGCCCTTGTGGTTTAAATTATTTTTTTTAGCGTATTTACCTAGACTTTTACCGAATGACCATTTAAAAAGGTACTGAGTATTTTATTATGGAAGGTTGGATAGAGGTTGAGGTTTATATGGCTAAGGCGAGAGGTATGAGCGAAGAGAGTGGTTGAAGTTGACCCCGTATAACGCGTGGTCTGTTGATGCGAAATCCTTGATGTGATTGTAGGTATGACTGTAGTTCATAATTTGAATTTGACTTGCATGCGATCATGTATATATTTTTGAAGGGAGTCACAATGTGATTGTGAGAAGTGATCATCTCGTGTATATATATATTTCGAATGTCCGTGCGATCTACCACGACTGTGCGTAAGGATCAAACAAATTTGTATTAAGAAAAAATAATGATTTATTTTTTTGCCCTTGTTTTTTTAGATTACTATAGTTGAACGTTGAAGTCCGTGGCGACCGTAAAAGTCGAACCCCTTGATCTGTTTCAAAACCTCCAATGATGAAGTTCGTCTCCAGGGTTATAAGCGTTGATCGCCACAAAGGTTCGAAGCCTGTCTACCACCCACTCTCCACAGGGTGTAGAAAAGGGTAGGACTCTCAACCGCCTTAGCGGTTGTCTAACGTCGATAGATTAACCCCTCTAGGCGCGTGTCAGCCGACACTTGAGTGTCAAAAGTGACCCTCGAGATCATTGAGGGCCACACGATTACGGGTATTTATATAGTACGCCATCACTGCGACTGCCTGCATATTTATGCATGATTAGTCGGTATGAAAAAACTTGCGTCAGCGCGATATTTATTACAAGTATAATGTGTGACGCCTAACCGATTATTGTATCGAAAAAGTTATGGTTTGGATACATAAAGGGATTCAGAGTGTTTTGTGTGAGTAATTTGATTCTTGTTTTGACGTGGTGTAATGCGTGGTAAGAAGGATGCGTCCTAGTCGACCGGCGTCGAGTCGCTCTTGGGACGTCAGCCCCCCAATGCGTCGATTCGCGTACGGGACCGATAGAGGCGTGAGACCGCGCGTACCCCCCATGCTACAACATAAGAGAAACGGCCTCAGCTGTGCCACCTCTGCGATTGCAACTGAGTACTTTTGGCATGTGGTTCGGTAGCTCGGCGGGGATACAGCCGTCCAAGGGTGGTGACAACCCCGTGGGCGGAGGTGAGTTGTACCTAGCATAACCCTATTCTGTCGTAGGGTGTTCGCGAGAGGTATGGCTGGCGCACTCGGCCGGAGTGGCGAAAAGCTCCACCACGATAAAAGGCCCTGCACAAATCCTGCGCGACGTGCCTGGGAAGGTCCCCCTGCGGGGTTGCCTCTGAGTCCCCCAACAATAAAAAAACTTCGCCTGGTTGCCTTAGATTCCGGCGCATAATTTTTGTGGGCCTTCTTCCACTCTAGCCATTGAAAATATTGTGGGCCTTCTTCCACTCTAGCCATTGAAAATAGGAGGACCCGAATGGTGTGTGTGTATGGCTTCCCCGACAGCACCTCTTTCCGCCCATCTCCATGATATGGACGGCTGCCAACAGCTGTTGGAACCTTCATTCCAAGGCCACGTGTCCATGCTTATAATTGGCGGACCTTTGGTAACCCACTAGTATGGCGCCAAAAATGATCGGGGCGAATGATCAGCATATCTTATCTATTTTCGTAGAGTAGATGGGATGATTGTCTCATTAGCGTCTAGATACTCACAGTGGGGCTCCCCTGAACGTATCTGACCGTTAAGACCAAATTCGGTCGAAAGAGTCCTGCGTACCCTTCTTCCCCCGAATACAACGTACGGTCACTATAGCTGTAGCTGTATTTATTTAGACTGGAAGTACCCCAAATACAGCTGTAATTACCGCCCGAATACAACAGGCGGTCGTCATTATATATAGCTATTGCTATATCTATAGACTGAAAGATGCCCCAAATACGGCTATAATCACCGTACGTTTTATTCGGGGGGAAGAAGGGTAGTCCTGCGTATGCATTCACTACAGGATACTGGACACGACACCTCGCTCCATGACTGTCCATATGGACAAAAGACAAAAACTACGGCTTTGTATCATTCCGTGTTCTAGGGGAAGATTCATTCTCGTTTTGCACATTTGGTGAGTAGTGGAGCGAAGCCCCGAGGTCTTTTGTATGGAATGTGCTGATACTGGAAAAAAAGAGAAAGGGTAAACCTTTGAAAAAGTCGTTCAGGTCACCAGAGATGCTTGGCAGATGTGAGGATTGAATCGGTATATGTATGTTTTGCTGCGCGAAAGCATCGTTGATTAGCTGACCAATTAATCGGTCGATCGATCGACCGATCGATCGATCGATCAATCAATCAATCGGTCAATCGATTGGCAGGAGTATGATGAGGAAACGTCTACTTGGCGTGCTCTTGAGGGCCCACCGGAGCGTGGGCCCTTTGCCAGTTGGGCGGGGGGGAAGCACCCGGCTCGATCGCGGCGGGGCATGCGATTGGGATCGGGATATCGAGTCGGTGCGGCGGTGTTGTTGGGTCTCGTTGGTGCGAGCGGGACTAGGCTGCGAAAGGCAAACGATGGGAGGGGTAATAGGGAGAGTTGGCGGCGGAAGGCAAACGATGGGAGAGGTAACAGGGAGAGTTGGGGGCGCTCGAGTGGTTGCGTATAACAGCGCAACGGGGCGGACTAGTCTTCCCCTAAAGCAGTCGTCGGGATCGGGAGCGCGGGAAGGAGGAGTTTACCCCAAGATCTTTCCTTTGAAGCTGCAAGTGAGGTGCGTGGCTATGGCAGATTTTGACAATCAACGGGGTTTGCCGCCATCGCCGTTCTCTCCTCTGAAGCTGCAAGCTAGATCTCTGTCTTCTTCTTCTTCTTCTTCTTCTTCTTCGTCGTCGTCGTCGTCGTCGTCGGCATTCTCCTTCAGGTCCCCTTCCGATTCTTCTTCTTCTTCTTCTCGTCCTCTATCTCCTCTCTCTTCTCCGCCCCTCCCTCCTTGTCCTCATCCTCCTCCTGCTTTTTCTTCTTCTTCTTCTTCTTCTTGTTCTTCTGGTTCTCCTCCCCCTCCTTCGGCGACTCCTTTGTCTCCTGCTCCGAGTCCGAGCTCGGCTATGGCGCCTCTGTCCCGAAGTGAAGACTTTGAGCAGCAGCGGCAGTGGAAGACAGCTTGGGAGAGGAGGAGGGGTGGTAGGAGTGGAGGTGGTGGGGAGGAGGAGGAGATTGGAACGAGAATGGCAGGAGTTTGGAAGGAATCGGCGGCCGCCGCCGAGTCGAGCAGCACCATGGGCTCTGAAGGAAGCGGCGGCTATGGCGTCCGAGGAGGTGATGTGCGAGGGGAGAGAGGCGGAGAGAAGACGATGGCGATGGTGCGTGGAGGTGGTGATGCTGACGTGGATTGGCAGGAGCAGAGGCAGCAGGTCAGAGAGCAAGAAGCTATGGCGCGCAGGATTCGAGGAAAAGCGGTGCCAGTCTCTTCTGTCGTATCCTCCGACTTTTATGTACCTGTCAAGGCCTACTACATCGCACGAAGGTTAGCGGGTTTCGGCATTTGGATTTGGAATGTTCACTGTCATGTCCAATTATATGAGCAATATCAACTCCTGAGGGTGGTTAATTAGTGTAATTTATATTAATTGATTATTTACAGTAAATAATGTATCGATTAGTACTAGACTAGTTAGGAGATCGATGGATTAATTACATTGATTGATTGATTGATTGATTGATTGGTTGATTGACTGACTGACTGACTGACTGACTGATTGATTGATTGATTGATTGATTGATTGATTGATTGACTGATTGATTGATTGATTGATTGATTGATTGGTGGGGCAATCGAGAAAAAGCAGGAGCTCGGAAGTGAGTCTTTGGCGGGGAAAAAATAATTAGATGTGACAAATCGGTGATCATCAATCAATGCCAATCAATCTTGATCGATTGATCGATCGAGATTGATTGGTATCCTTCCATAGACACATAGCAATGGCCAATCAATCTCGATCGATCAGTCGATTAACAGAGAGATCGGTCGCTAGTGGATCAGTTCATCTAAGAACCGATCAATCAATGCGTCGGGCAATTTCACCAATTGGCTAATTGAAGATGGGATGACCAGCTCTTATCGAATCAAATCAATCAATCAATCAATCTGTAGATCAACCAGTCAATCAATCAATCAATCAATCAATCAATCAATCTGTAGATCAATCAATCAATCAATCTGTAGATCAATCTATCAATCTATCAGTTAGTCAATCAATCAATCGATCGATCGATCATTCAGTGAATCAGTCAGTCAACCAACCAATCAACAGCCAATCAATCGATGGGTCGGACCCGACCATCGATTGCAGATCAATCAATCAGTCATGACAACGCAATTATACATGGTTGTATATCCTTATATCGACCAACCAATCAATCAATAAGCCAATCAGCCAATCAATCATTCAATCCATCAATCAATCAATTGGTCGGACCAGACCATTGATCGCCGATCAACCAATCAATCATGACAACGTAATGTACCTAATTACTATGTCGATCAATTCCTCATTTGTCTATGTAGTTTCATATCTGAAAATAACCAAGCAATCGAAAATGAAGAGAGCAACGCATCAGTCCAATTATTTCCTTGATCAGTCAGTCAATGCATCAAATCAATGAACTAATCATCGGGCGATCGATTGAGCACTCCTTCACCGATCGATTATGTCAAAATCGGTAAACGAAGCTGTTGGTCGATGAATCAACGAATCGATAAAGCAATGTGAATTAATCAGTGGATCGATCAATTGTAAGCTATGATTTATAATTAGAAGATGCGAATACTGATAATATTTTATTAAATCGAAGCTCTTTGATGATCAATCAGTCGCTGATCAATCAATCGCTGGTCAATCAATTACGCAGTCGACCCATTAACCAATGGAACCGTCGACTCAATCGACAACGTAAAATAATCTGATCAATCAGTTAATCAATCAATTGCTCCAATCAGTTAATCAATCAATTGCTCAAATCCGTTAATCAATCAATCAGTTATTCACTCAATCAATTAGTCAAATCAGTTAAATGGTATCGATCCCGGAAAGGGAAGCAACTGGAAGAATGTTATGAACCAATCTAATTTAATTGCTGATCAATCAACAATCAATCAATTTCGCAAATCAATAATCATTTTCGCAAATCTATAATATTGTTGTTGATCTCATGGTCGCTTTCTTCCCCGACCTCCTCGTCTTCCAATCCCATCCCATTCCATCTCACCCCACCCCATCTCATCCCAATCCCAATCGCAATCCCAAACCCGTCCCCAATCCATTTGATCTCATCCATTGCATCCCGATCCCAATCGCATCCCAATCCATTTGATCTCATCCCACTCGCATCCTAATCCATCTCATCCCATCCCAATCCCAATCCCAATCCCAATCCCATCTCAATCCCAATCCCAATCCCATCTCAATCCCAATCCCAATCCCAATCCCAATCTCAATCGCCTCCCGATCCCATTCCTGTCCATCCCAATCCCATCCCGATGCCCATCCCAATCCCCATCCCTCCCATCCCATCCCATCCCATCCCATCCCATCCCATCCCATCCCTCCCATCCCAATCCCTCCCGTCCCTATCCCCTCCCATCCTGTCCTATTCCATCCCCCCTCCTAATTCATATCCCTTCCCTGTCCGTCCCATCCCATCCCTTCCCTTCCCCTCCCCTTCCCTCCCATCCCAGTCCCAATCCCATCCCAATCCCATCCCAATCCCAATCCCAATCCCGTCCCCTCCGTCCATCCGTTCAAAGGTTGCTGACGACAGTTCACCGACCGACAACTCAATCATTGTCATCCCTCTTCCTCATCCGACACCGCTTGAATCTCCACCACTTGCATCCATCTATCCATCCATCCCTTTGTCCGGCTTTGCTATCATCTTTTTTTTTTTTTTTTTTTCCCTTTTTTGCTGTACTCTCATCTTCCATTTACGGCGAGAGAGCAGAGCCACAGCGTTGCACGAATCCACGTGCAGTGAGAGCAGACCCGCAGAGCGGCACTACTCGCTTGCGTGTGTTGCCCGACCGGTCGCTGGGGCCACGGATTGCGTGTCTGGCCTGACTGGTCGATCGGCACTGTCTTTTGTCAAATTTCTTTTGTGTTTTGCCGATTGATCGGCATCTATTTGTGTGCCCAGGGAGGGAGGGAGGGAGGGAGGGTGAGGGCTCTACCGGTAGTCAGTGGCGGG